AATAAACTAAAGAAAAACAGACGATTTAACTTGACACTCCGTTTCTTCAAACTATTTATTTTCCTACTGTCTTATTAAATATTTGCATTTCTAAAGTAAATGAAACATTTATGTAATCCGCTCATTTTCATTTTTCTAATATTTCTAATATATTTAAAGTCCATTGTCGCATTACACAATAAAACCCGTACAATTACACGTAATAGAATACGTATTTGTATTTTATATATAAAATACATTTTGCACATTTTTTTACATACGCGATTTGTGTTGAAATTCTTCGCTACCGTTTACTCACTTATCATTTATCATTCATCAACTTTCCAGCGAGTCTGACATCCGTTTAATAAATCATGCGTTTGAAAGAGCCGAAACTCAATTGCGAAAAATAAACGGCGAAGATCAATTATTTAACGAAGACCGAGTTTTGTTTGCCGGAGTCTCGCGATCATCATGAATGTCACGCTCGAAATCGACGACGATCGCCAATCGGCCAGATTTCGGAGTTCGAAATCAAGCCAAGGTGAAGATAATAGGCCGGTCGATTATATATCGAGAAGAAAAGAACGGGAAAGGGGTTGGAACCTCGTGAGGTGGCAGAGCGTTCGAAAGGTCGACAACTATACTAGTTTCGACAAGGTCGATCGCTATATAAGTATCCACGTACGTGCACGAATGTCGTCTCGTTGCGATCAAAATCATCGCGCGGTCAATCGATAATCCACGCGTGTTGCCGCGCATATATGTTTTCGTCGTATTAGATAATGAGCGATTTCTTATACGAGTATCCTTGCATCAGACGAGCATTAGATGCTCGAAACGTGTTCGTGATCGACATGAAATTTACTTGTCATGCAGATAAACGCGGAAAATATGGAACGTCTTAAGATTCCCATCGTTCAGCAGAGTGGAAAATTATACAGAATCTCTCGTCGTTTGTAATAAATCGGCTTCTGTAAATTTTGACTGATATTCGAAAAAACATATTTACTTTAATACAGTTGTCAAGTCAGAAGAAAAATAGCCAGTTCAATCCTTTGAGGATTTAATTCGTATTATGCGAATAGAAATAATTAGGAATTCGAGAAGAGAAACGTATTACAATACATCGAACAAACGTCTATGCTTAATGATGAATGCCTTTTAAACTTTTTTATACGCTTCTCGTTCAATATTGAACTTTTAGATAATTTGTCACCCAGAGGATGAAAAATAGTTAATATATTAAAATTGATTTTTTTTTTTTTCTGATTGGATTAAATCAGGCTGCTAACATTTTATAATCGATACACTGCTGTGCAAATATTCTTCTTTCTTTTTGCAACTATTCCACACCAAAATGGCACATAAAATGAAATTCTGTTGACTTTGAGGTTAATGCTCTTAAGGCACTGAGGTAAGAACGGTATACTTACGTATACTCTCTGTTGATAAGAAACCAAAGAGTGTGAAAGTTAATAGTTTTTATTTCAATCGTTACGCGATACGCTGTTTCGTTTTGCTTGATACGATTTAACGCATCGATTGACAGATCGTTGGAGCTCGACGGGTATGTCTTACTGTCTCGATCCTCGTTCACTTTTTTTTTTTTTTTCTAATGACTTACATACATAACAAGTTGAACGAAATGAGATCCGGAGTATCACTGACCCTGTCGTAGGGATTGTTCTCCGTGTCTAATATAATAATATTTTTTACCTTTGCTAAAAATGTAATACAATAAGTCGAGAAGAATGAACGATAATTAAGTTGAAGCATCGTCTATGTTATTGAAGATATGATCAAATATCGTCTGGAAACGTCGTAGAATTTATTATTATAAAAATTAATAAAATGCAAGCAAGGAGTGTCGACGAGACATTTTTAGAAAATATCTCGAGCACGATCTTCAGTAATCTAATGCAGAAAATTTATCACGCTTGTTCGCGTTGGATATCTCTAATCGTGTTTTCCTTTTTTGTCCGCATTTAAATTTCCCGCAATCTGCATAACATTAATTGCAAATCAAATTGAATGACTCGGCACAGACATGCATATTAGTCATAAAAAATTTAATAACTTTTTTAACTGGAATTAAAAATTTATCATACTTTGCAAACAAGCAAAACGGGGGGCATGGCAAAAATCACATTTTTTTTTT